AGAGAATCTTTAGATACCTTAAGGACACTCCTAGTTTAGGACTTTGGTATCCTAGAGACTCTAGCTTTAGCTTGCATGCCTTTTCTGATGCGGATTATGGAGGATGCAAATTAGATAGGAAAAGCACCTCCGGTACTTGTCAATTCCTTGGAAATATGTTGATTTCTTGGTTTTCAAAGAAACAAAATTGTGTTGCATTATCCACCACTGAAGCGGAATACATTTCAGCCGGTAGTTGCTGTGCACAAGTTTTATGGATGAAACAACAACTTTTTGATTATGGAATTGAAGTAGGTACCATTCCTATCAAGTGTGACAATACTAGTGCTATTTGTCTCACTAAAAATCCCATCCAACACTCTAGAACTAAGCACATTGAAATAAGACATCACTTCATTAGAGACCATGTCACTAAGGAAGATGTAGTTCTAGAATTTGTTGATACTTTGCACCAATTAGCGGATATCTTTACAAAACCCTTAGACAAGGAAAGATTTTGGACACTTAGGAGAGAATTAGGTTTGACCAACCTATCTTCACTTAGTGTTTAAAATAATTTTAGCACTTTTAATAAATCTTGAAAAATGCTTATAATAATAATTTTTGATTGCATTCTTGCTATTAGTTAGGGGGAGTTTGTGATTCTTAGTGAAAATTAATTTTATGTTCAAAAATCGATTAAAGATTAATTTAATTGTTTAAACATAATTAATTTTTGATATATGAGTTGCCAATCCCACTAGAAAAGATTAATTTAGCATTTTGTGCTTAAAAAATCGGATTTTAGAATTTTGGTGCAGAGGGAATCGATCCCCCCCTGAGGGAACCGATTCCCCCTTTGAAGGGGAACCGATTCCCCCCCACAGGGGAATCGATACCCCCCTGGGGTTCTGTTAAATCGGGCAGAACACCCCAAAAACCCCAAAATCCTCATTTTTTCTTCCGCCGTTTATCACCCTATAAGCACTCAAATCTTCATTCTTTCCTCAAATCATTGATTTTAATCGGAAATCACTTCAAATATCATCTCCTAAACTTGCAATCATCATTAAAATCGTGCAAACAACATCTAAATCCCCTCAATCTTCATCTTTCAAGGTAAATTTTTCTAAACTCTCTATTTCATTGATTTTGAACATAGGATTAGTTTTAATTAGTTCTAGGTTGAAATAGTGATCGGGCATTGATTATTTAGGAATTAGAAACTAGATGTTACAACTAATTTCATCAAAACACAAGAATTTTTCAAAATTTTTTAAATTTTCGAAATAAAAAAAATTTGTTATTTTCAAATTATTGTGTTTTGATTAAATTATGTTGTTGTTATGAGAAACTATACATATATTGTTTCTCAAAACCATATTTTTCAAAAGTTTTTCAAAAACTTTGCCCATTAGGATTGATTTAGAGAATCTTGAAATATTGAGGGCAAAATTGCAGGTTATCAATTATATTCTGATTTCCTAAACTATGTCAAATCCTAATCGTCCTAGGTCTTCATCTAGTCGTTCTAGTCGTCAACCAAATCCTCCTCCTATTCCTCAAAATCCTATTCCAAATCTTGATCCTAACTTGACTATCCAAAATTCTTGTTTCAATCAACCGGGTCCTAAAGATTATCGTTATTGGTTTTACCAATATTTTGACTCGTATAAGATTAGGGAAGTACGTATCCCATCTCTTCAAACTATGGTTGATATTAACTTTAAATATCTCCCTATCTTGCACGAATGGAAATTTGATAAACTTTTCGAACTTGAACCCATTGTCTATCATCAACTTGTTCGTATCTTCTACTGTAATGCCGTTTGTATCAAAAATCGTGACAAAACCAAAACCATAGGAGTGCGTTCCTACCTCCTAGGTCAATATTTCTATCTTGATCCGGATTACATAGCCAATGCCTTAGGCTTGGACAATGAAGGTTTATCAAACGAAAAACAAGTTTTAGGCTCACGATATAAACGGAATGATAGTGCAAGTGTTTTAGATCTCCATGAGCGTTTCCTTCATCTCATGATCACTTGGTGGTTTCGACCATCTGGGGGTCGATATTCAACTCTTAGAGCATTAGATCTTTGGTGGTTGCACTGTTTTGAAAACAATATAAAAATAAACCTCTCCGAGATTATCTTTGCTGAAATTGTTGAAACCGTTAACCTAGTGCCAAATAAGAAACTCTGTTCTTCACTAGTTTACGGTTGTATCCTTAGTAATCTCTTTTCTAAAGCTGAACTCCGAGTTGGTCTAGATGCCTCATTTCCTCTTAAGAAACAAATCAATCTTCTTTCTTTAACAAGAGCGGGATGGGTCAAAAATAAGGAAACCGGTGCATGGGTTCGATCTTCTACTCCGGGAGCTAGTTCTTCACAAGCTCCACCCGAAGCTGACGAAGATCCTGAGTTTGAACAACTAATGAGGGATATTGATGAAGCTGAAGAAGAACCTGAATAACCCGAGGAGCACGCACAACAATCAACTCAAATGCCTCCATATTTTCAATCCTTTATGGAGACATTTGATTTCCGTTATGCGACAATGGATTCGCGCTTTTCCTCTATAGAGTTTCATTTATCCACAATGGGAACTCAACAATTAGAGATTCTTCAGGAGATGCGTGCAAACAATGAAGCAACCAATGCTCGTATTAATGAACTAACTCATGAAATGGCTGCTATGCGAGCCCGTTTTCCTCCTACCGATCCGGATGTTTGATTATGTGTTTAGTTTTAAGACTTTGAACTAAAAGAATATTGTTTCAACACTTTTGATATTTTGGATTGTTTGATTTTGTGGATTGTTGGATTTTGGATTATGATAGTGTGAACTTATATGTTTTATTCATTTTTGCATCATCATTAGCAATATGACCAATTTTGCCATATCACATTATTTATGAATATTGATTTATGAAACTAATGGCTAATCTCTCTTTTGATTGTGATCTTAGCAGCTTAAGCTTATAATTAATAAATCAATTGGCTAAATGATTTCAAAACCTTGTTTTACAATGTCTTTTTGATTTAACAAAAAGGGGGATAAGAATAGGTGTTAAATGATTTACATAATAAATTGAAGAAGTGTTAAAGTAAGGGGAGTAATTTCAAAACTTGATTTCAAAAATCTTAAAATTACTAAAAATGTTTTGTTATATCAAAAAGGGGGAGATTGTTGAAACATTTTGATATTTCGATATAACAAATTAAGTTAAATAGATTTTAAGATTTTCCAAATGATTTTCTAAGTATATTCAATATAACTATTCGAATATCAAAACATTACTCCAAATATTTCAAAAATCATGTTTAATCCTTACTTAAGTGTAAAATTAAGTTTTAATCATAAAACAATTTCAAAATAATCTTACAAAGTATTTCGAACCAATTCAAAGCCAAAAATTAGAGATTGCTCAGAGGGAACCGATTCCCCCCATAGGAGGAACCGATTCCCCCTAAATGGTTTTGGCCCCGAGATTTCCAGAATGCTCGGAGGGAACCGATTCCCCCTAAACAGTTTTGCTCCGAGAATTCCAGTATGCTCGGAGGGAACCGATCCCCCCCAAGGGGGTACCGATTCCCCCCTTGTACAACGGTCGAAATATTGAATTTTACACTTAGGAATTGATTCCTTCAAGGGGGAACCGATTCCCCCCACGCTCCAAGCTGTTTTATTAATGTTTTCACACTAAAACGGCTATAATATCTTCTCTAATCATCCCCAACGTTCAGAAGTGATCCAAGGTGTATTTAAGCAAGCTTAGAAGCCATTGATCAAAACAAGAAACATCAAGCAACTAGAATCAAGAGAGAATCAAAGAGAAAGCATCAAACCTCAAGTTGAGCATTTCAAGCCTATTTTCATTCATATTCATTTTGCTTTCAAGAACACTTTTGTGCTCAATTGTATTCATCTTTGAGTGTTCTTTTCTTTGTTCTAGAATTGTGCAAACATCTTACCTTGTGAGGTTTTCTTGTAAGTTTGCAAATTTGTAATCTTCTCTTTGGGAAAAAGAGTGTTCTCAAGAGTTGGGGTATACTCTTGAGGGAATTGTAAGGTTATCTCTTTGGCCTCAAAAGAAGAACAAATTAGTGAATTTGTTGGAAAATCCTTAGTGTGGATAGCTAAGGTAATGGACGTAGACTTTATTTGAGAAAGTCGAACCACTGTAAATCGCTGTGCAATTACTTTCAATTTTCTGCAAAATCTTCCACAAAATTTTAATTGCCAATTCACCCCCTCTTGGCCGATTCCGTCAATCGATTACTCAACAATATATTTTTATTTAAATTAATTTATTATATTTATATATATATATATATATATATATATATATATAATTATTTTTAATATTTATCGGGTCGGGTATCGGGGCGGGTAATCGGGTAATCGGGGCGGGGATTACCAAACCCGTCCCCGTCCCGTCCCGTCCCTGTTTAAAACAAATGGGTTTTCCCATCCCCGTCCCCGTTTATCATCCCCGAACCCGACCACTTTAATTCGGTTTTCGATTTTCCCCGTCGGGTTCGGGTTTTTTTGCCATCCCTAGCCATTAGGGAAGAGGTAAACACATTCCCGATAATATACCAAAAATACCACTGTTCGAAATAAAAGATTACCAAGATTGGGAATATTTTGAACCAAACCCTAGATTACTTGAACCAAACACCCCCTTAGAGCTTCATAACACATATATTGATTTGCCAGGCTGAGCTTGTCTCCCAAGGAATATTTTAGACTAATCGTATATAAGTTCATAAGTTTGAACATTCTCTCAATAAGAAAAACAGATTATTTACCGATGTGATTGAAAACAATATTTATACAAGTATTGGGTTTGATTATTAATGATGATAAATGGCTAATGGAGATAAATGTACGATTGTTTCCCGAGAAAACAAATGAACAGAGTATCAAAAAGCAAAGTGAAATCCAATTACGTGGATGGAAGCGATGGATACCTACAAAGTAATAAAACTTAAATTCATTAAAGAAATTTCATGTGAACGTCACGAAATTACATGGGATGGAATGATAGTCCATTGATTTACATCAATCATTAGCTGAGAATGCTAATGCATCAAAACCAACAAAGTTAGATCTCTGATCCAAAGCATTAATAGACTAAAAAAACACATTAAGCTCTCTCTCCTCGAATCCTCCTAGCGAGCTGGATATCCTTAGGCATAATCGTAACCCTCTTAGCATGAATGGCACATAAGTTAGTATCCTCAAACAGTCCGACGAGATAAGCCTCAGCAGCTTCTTGAAGAGCAGCGACGGCGCTGCTTTGGAACCTCAAATCGGTCTTGAAATCTTGAGCGATTTCCCTCACAAGCCTCTGGAACGGAAGCTTTCGGATCAGGAGCTCAGTGCTCTTCTGGTATTTCCTGATTTCCCTCAGAGCCACGGTTCCTGGTCTGAAACGGTGCGGCTTCTTTACTCCTCCGGTCGCCGGAGCCGACTTCCTAGCGGCCTTCGTGGCTAGCTGCTTTCGTGGAGCTTTGCCTCCGGTTGACTTCCTAGCTGTTTGCTTGGTACGAGCCATTAGCGAAGAGATTGAGAAAGAAGAAAAAAATGTAGTGTTTGGATCGTGCGAAAGTGGTTGTAATTTGAAGGAAACTGCTTACGATGGTGTGTACATTGTGATTGGAGGGGCATATATATCGAGAACGATTTGGGAGAGGCGGGAAAAAGTAATTAAAGAAATATTTTAAATTGCGCAAACATGAGCCGTAGATTGGAGGGATTGTCGACGGCTGATAAGTTGTTTGAGTACTGATCCGTGTTTGATGGAAATTTACCAATAGGATTCGTTCTTTTAAGCGGCACTGTTTTGAAGCTTGACCATTTTAACATTTTTCTAGGAAGTTAACTTAAATTAGAAGTAGTTTGACATCGTTTAAATAAATTTTAAGTTTAACGTATTGTATGTATAGAAAATATTTGTTATGAAAAATAATTTAAACAATTATAATTATAACATAACATTAAAGTAATTATTTAAATATATTTAGAATTACATCATAATAAAATATCGTCATGCTGGACGATATCGAGGGAACTATAAAATGTTCATTGTCTTACATGCCCCCTTTATATTATAATATTATCCTTGGAAGTTTCAAAAAGTTATCCTCGTTAGTCCACTCTCATTCCCCATCCATAACGAGGATAACTTTTTGTTAAGATTGCCCCCCTTTTTATTTCAAATAAATCTTAAAATCTCAAGATTCTTTCTATTTTTTTTAAAAAAGTATATAAATATGTATACTTTTTTTTCATTTTCATAATTTTATATTTTTTAAAACCGATTTCTATCTGTTTTGAAAATTTTATGTATTTTTTATTTTCTTTTTGCAACTTTCGCATTTATTTTGATAAAAAATAATGCAAAAATCTAAAGAATAGAAAATTCCCATAATTTTAAGAAATATATTATATTACGTTACGTAAAGTGTCAATTTGATCAACGAAATATTATTTAGTATATTGTTATTCACGATGAGATTATCGTACGCTATTTTTTTCTTTATATTTTTTTATAAATGAATTAATTCCGTACTTTCAACGATTATTAAATAAAATATAACAAGGGACACACCCGATTCCGCCCCAGCTACCGGTTCAACCGAGTCAGAACGACCAATCGACCATATATGTCCGAGTCATAAATAAGTCGTAAAACCAATCATCAGTGGAAAAACAAAATCATAACTGAAAACCCAAGTTATCGCGGAAAAACGGAAATTTATTAAAATTTAAAACACGCCACTCTCTCGTAATTTATTTTAGAAAAAAATATTTATTTATAGTTTCGCATATATTATTTTTATTTTTAGTTTGTTTTTCGTGGTTTCCATCTCTCCATTAGCTGCACGTTCCTCTTCTGTAAATCTTCTTCTCGATCTCTCCCTCCTTTCCAGCCAGTCGCGCCTTTTTGTCGCAGATTAATACCATTTTTTTCCATGTTATTGTTTTTCCTGTTTTTCTTCAGGCTGAACTCTGTATTGTGAATTCGTGACGTTTAATTTTTTTTCTGTGTTTTTATCAGTACATAATAGATGAATTTTGTAAATCGAGAGAGTTCTTCTGTTTTAGTCTTCTTTTTCGTGGTTCTTCGGTGATCTGTATCTTGAATGAACCGAGCTTTGAGGCTCGGGGAATCGGAATCCGAAAAAGCTAATGGCAGCCGAGAATCGCAGTGATGGTGGAATCAATCCGACTCCTTGTTATTTGCAGAAATTCAGACTCTACGAGACTCGCTCGGTATTCTTTTTCTCTCCCACTCGTATATGTATTCGTTTTGTTTCATGTTGTCCTAAGCTTGTGCATACGGCAGTGGACTTCGTTTAGCCTTTTGACTTTATCACGCTAAAGCTCTTCTGATCTTTTGGCTTCTTTTTTTTTGTTTCCACCGGCTGTTTAATCTTTTTTTTGGCGATCTATTAACCAATTCTTTATATATACATGTATATAATTTGAGTGTTTATGAAACTATGATGGTTTTTAGATTTAGCTGATAGCTGCTCTGTGATTTTCTAGATCTTGATGTACTTATTTCTGATATTGTATTTATGTGTATGACTTGGATTTTTAGCTTATGAATGCTTATTGAACCGGTAATTCGCAATACGAAATCTGATAATGCAGTTTAACTTCTATCGTCAATTTCTTTGCTTGTTATTATAAGTAGTGGTTCAGTTATTTAAATATTAGAAGTTTTCAATATCCACAATACAATACTCGAACATTCTAGTGCTCTAAATTCAGCTTAGCAGGATAAAGTCTTCGTAATGATAGGTTTGTAGTTGTCACTATTTTCTTATTTGGATTTTCTTTTGCGTACAATTCTCTTTAGCTGCAATTATCTCCCATGAAGTGTTAGACTGTTCTTTTTTCTCATAATGCTATTCATGCTCTTGAGGTCATGGTAAGTGATTGTTAATGTGCTTGAGAGCTACACGAACCTTCCTGTTTCGATATGGAAATAGTCACCGTGCTCAGAGCAAGTTCTACATTTATAAAGATATTTTTTTCTGTTTTTCTGTGATGCTGATAAGAACATTGTTGCTCCTTTTGCTTATTCTTTCCCAAAAATTTATTTGCATTATAATTACGCCACTTCCATCTCCATTACACAATATTAATGAAACATTTGTATATTCCTTGTGTGACAGCATTTATATATGATTGGAAGAAACAAGAATGGAACCGTTTGGAGGGTATTAAAGGTTGATCGATTAGAACCTTCTGAACTTAATATTGTTGAAGACCCCGCTACATATTCAGAAATTGAATGTTCTTTTCTGTTAAGACGGATACATGACGGAAACAGGTCCACAGGTGGACTTAAATTTGTTACAGCTTGCTATGGAATCATTGGTATGTAATATTACTCAGGTTCTCCACCCTCCCCTGTCAGTCATTTTAGCATGATCTAATAAATCTCTGCCATTAATTTAGGGTTTGTGAAATTTTTGGGACCTTATTACATGCTGCTGATCACGAAAAGAAGGAAGATTGGTGCAATTTGTGGCCATAGTATCTATGCCATTACCAAGAGCGAGATGATAACAATTCCCAGTTCTTCTGTTCCAGTCAAATATGGCTTATTCTAAGAATGAAAAAGGTCTTTTGTCAATTCTGTTGTAATGTAATCTGTCCTTGGTATATATAAGAAACATATGAAATTAGCACTTAAAATATTCATTGTCCATTTGATTTAAATAGATTGTGTCGTGTTGTGGTTGTTTTATCTTCTTCCAATTAATTATTATTCTTTGGGACAATAATTTGAGTTCTGGAGTTCTCTTTAAAGTAGAAGAGTAGTTCATGGTGTGGAGGTAATCTCTGCACTGTTTTGTTGTACCCTTCATGTATATCATTGATGTTGGCTGATGCGGTTGGAATTAACCACTTTTGTGGTTAAATACATATCCTCCCTTTATAGTTGAGTCAATAAGTCGGCTTTGACCAGTTAATTGTGGCATCTTCTTAATTAGTACTATTTGTAGAGGCTATTGCCAGTTCATTTCTTGCATATGCACAGGAGCTAACATCATTGTTGTGTGATGTTAATATTACATGTTGAATGGGAGAAGGTATCATTAGGGTTTCTGGGGGGAGATTACTATCTTTCTTTAGTTTCCTGGTTATAACTATAGTTCACAGTTTTTTTTGTTTTTAGTTCATCTAGTAACTAACATTTATTAATGAGGAATCCTTTCTTTCATCTTTGTCTTGTTTAAATAGATACAAGAAGCTCCTGTGCACAGTGGATCTTACAAAGGACTTCTTTTTCAGCTCGTACAATGTAATGCATAGCCTCCAAAGAAATTTATGTAAGAATGAGACAGGATTAGTACATTATGAAACAATGTTTGTCTGGAATGAGTTCTTAACTCGAGGAATCCGGAATAATCTCAAGATACTTTGTGGACTGTCGCACTGGTATATGGCTTTTTCAAGCAGGTATGATACACTCTTTCATATTCATTGATTTTGCATGGTAGGTGAAAATGGAAGGATCTGCAAGAAGATTGTTAAGTTGTAGTTAATTTTATGTTCATGCAGTTTCTGTATTTGGTTCATGATAAAAACTGTTGCTTACAGATGTATATTTATGATTGTCAATATTAGGAATTTTCAGATTTGTAATTTCTTTGATTCTATTTATTGGAAGGAATTATTTTGTCGATAATCATAAGGATTAAGCAAAACTAACCCTTTACGAAAATTGTTGTTGTTGAAATATTAAAATGAAGTAATTAAAGCTGTTAAATAACTCAGGTTCATACTTTCACCTTATGCTGAACATGTTTGCAAATTGTTGTTTCCTTTTTGAGGCATGGCTTTAAAATTTTGATCTGACATTTGTTTTTGCCCACTGTGCTATCCAGGTCAAACTATCTGTCTCTGGCAAGGACGTCAAGTTAACTCTCATTGCAAGGCGTTCTCGACATTATGCTGGAACAAGGTTTAGATGCTTTACAAGCTATTGATTGAAATGTCAGCTGCATTAATTAGAACCTTCCTTTATCATTTATTAGAAGAATTAGCTTATGATAATTTTCATAGTTAAATGCTTTGCAATTTGACCTATTTCATGTTTTCTTTGCCTATTTTTGAGTTCTAGACTGTTTCTTTTCCCTTCATATGATAGACGAACTTTTCTTTCACCTACTTTTGTTGCTGATCATTAGTCAGACATGGCTCACTTTCTTCTCTATTGCATAGATATCTAAAACGTGGTGTGAATGAGAAAGGTAAAGTAGCAAATGATGTTGAGACAGAACAAATTGTGTTTGAAGATGTTCCTGAAGGATGCCCCACACAAATAAGTTGTGTTGTCCAGAATAGAGGCTCTATCCCCCTTTTCTGGTCCCAGGAAACTTCGCGCTTGAATTTGAAACCTGACATTATATGTATGTATTCTTTCTTAATAACAAAATGAGAGCCATAAATCTCTACTTTTACTTGGTAATTGCAGTATATTTTCTTAATTTCACCTTTTGTTTCCAGTATCAAAAAAAGGATCCAAATTATGAGGCCACAAAACTACATTTTGAAAATCTTGCAAGGAGATATGGAGATCCAATAATCATATTGAATTTGATTAA